TAGCTGCTTTCTTCTCAGAAGCAGCTAAATTTAATGGGGACGTGGCAAGTGAAGTCCCACGTCTAAGATTATCGAGAGCAATAAAACGGGCTTAAACTGCCGTTACCCTTGGTTTGTCATTTTCCAGCCGACCAACTTTGATTGCTCAGGTGACAGACAAGCTACCTAGCTATGTGTATCTACAAATTTAGCCGCTTCCGAGTGGAAAGCCATATAAGGCGAACTACGTACTAATGATCATCTTCCTTCATGGTTTAGAAAATCCAAATAAAACCTATAAGAAGTTCTATTTTGACTCATTTGATTGACGATAGTGGTCACCAAGTGGACAGAAGTAGTGAGTGTGACTTCAAGGTTATTCATCGCATTCCATCGAACCTTTCAAATGGAATTCGAACTCCTCCTCTTTTACACACATCCGAAGCTATCGGAATTAATTCGAGAGAACAGTCCTAGTCTTGGACTAGATAAAGTCTCATCAAAACCCTCCCACCCTTTCTTATTCTCCATTTCTTTCGTACTTTTATGATATTTATTTAAACTCTGATTATCTGTCCACTTCAATTGCTCTTAGTATTACGTAACTTTTACGATTTCACCTAGTTTATTTATTTATCGAATTGTCTACATGTACACACACGTATTACTGCCTTTGTTATTCTTATCGCCACCTGCATAAGCCTTATTATCATTTTGTTATCATTATAAGCATCGTTATTAACGACGCTCAAAACATTTACCACATTATTATTATATGATCCACAAACTTACCGTCGTTGGTTAAAATCTTTATATATAAATCTATGTAAATTGGACTAAAACCTGAAGAGGATCTAATTGAAGACAGCAATATTGTTCGCTTATATGTCTTGTTCTAAAGAGCACCTTTCCTGATTATGAATATCATGTTATATTCATTTTATGGCACACTGAGGAAAATTTATGACATTAATCCAGGAGAGTCAATTCTAGTGCTTTTACATAGGGAAGAAAATTAACTTTGGGTAACTGTTTCATCACTATAGACGGAAGAAATCGAAAAGAACTCATCCTTTTCACTTACTAACCTGGACAACATTGTTTCCAGGCAAAGTAGGGACTTTAAAGACTCGAAAAGTACCGAGGGAGTGCAACCGCACCAATGACGTTGAAACATACAGTCAAGAAGTCTGTAAAATCAGGAAAATAACACTATAATTTTGAATAAAACATGCCTAATGAAGTGCTATGACGTTAAACGAGATAACTGGTAAGTTTTAGGTTAAGTTTGGGAAAGATTAAGTTAGCGTTTGGTCTAAGGACAGATCAGAGGTAATTTGACCTAATAAGGGAGATATTGGAGTTGGTTGGAGTTGGAGGGCGGCGATGGTTGAGCTGAGAAAAGATTACGGTTAGGGGGTTAGAAGACCTAGATGGAACGATATAGAGAATGAGGTATAATTACCCTAATAACACTCCAATGCAAAATTGAAAGACATTTCTGCTAAACGTCGGAGAAAGGCATCCCGTGCAACATTTTAACACTTTTTATTCATTATTTTCATCAGCATATATGTATTCCATAAATTTATTCCCCTTAATAAATTTCAGCAGAGCAAGAACTACAGATTTTGCAGAATAAAGTGGTACCATCCTTTATTTCATTGCCTTCTCGTCAGGTGCTTACAGGACAAAGACATTGTCAAATATATCTACAGAAACAATTTTAACGTACTTACCCACAGACAGTTCATTTTAAACAAAAATCAATCGATCAATATATGCATACACTAATAATAATAATTATATATATATATAATATTAAACACTATTCCGAACAATAGTAATCATACACAATGAAAACTTTCGACAGTACGTAATCAGACGAAAGAGAGGGTGAAAATATCCAGTTACCAGTCAGGGCAAAGATAAGACTGATAACCGCTTCTTTCTGAACGCCCAAATCAGGTTTCAGGCGCTTGATGGAAATGGCTTCAACAAACTTGAGGAGAATTGAACTCATTTGTCTATTGATAATTTCGAACTATCTTGCAGTGTCCACCTGATGACCCGTGTCAAGGAGATACCTAGCGATGGCACTGTTTAAAGCATTTGTTCCCTTTAGACATAAGCTTTTTGGTACATGTTCAGAAAGTAGTAGATATGCCCTTCTTTCTGTTCTTCCAATGTAACTGCTATCACAGATACATGTAAATTTGTATATACAGTTGCAGTTAACATGAGAAGGATATCTATCGATTTTTGATTGCACCAAAGAAGAGCAAGTTGTTCGATAGTTATACAAATTTACATGTATCTACGACAGCAGTCTAAAGGTTTCTAAAAGTTTCCATTGTGTATGGTTATTATTGTTCGGAATAGTGCTTAATATTACATATATATATATATATATGTATATATATTACTACTGTATGCATATATTGATGGATTGACTTTTTGTTGAAAGTGAATTCTGTGCAAGTATGTTAAAATTGTTTTCGTAGATATATTTATTAATGTGTTTGCCCTGTAAGCAGCTGAGCTGATGAGAAGGCAACGAAATAAACAATGTTGGTACTACTTTATTCTGCTAAAACTGTAGTTCTTGCTTTGTTCAGAACCATTTTCTGCAGTCTTCTTTGGATTCTCATCAGAACGACGAGTAACAGGGGACTCTAGAATCAAATTATACAAAATAAAATGCAAATGTACTGGATTCACGCTGAGAAGACTAGTGAATGATATTACACATCAACAAAGCGCTTTAGTCATGACTGAGCAAGAAACGACGAGTTTGGAATCGCTTCGATAGCAACATGATGGAGATAATGAAAACTTTCAGACTGTTGTAGAGTCAGTTAAAAAAAGACTGAAGAGAGCGAGGGTGGAATGGAGATATGTTGTTGAAATCCTATGTACTGCTTAGAACCCAAGGGACAGATAATAATAAGAACACAATATTCAGCGAAGAGACTCTTTTCAACAACGAATTTATTATCAAGCTGTACAATAGTATATACACATATGGTTTTTAAGAAATTATATCTGGTGTGGGAATTAGGTCAAAGGTGTGAATACATGAAATAATAATAGTAGTAGTATGAAATGCAATTAAAATATTTGTGATTTTAATCATAGTTTAATGTCAAGTAGCAAAACAATTAATGTCATATATAGAATAATACATAAGGTAAATAAATGTTGGAAAGGGGTACATAATTATAGGATTAGTAGGCGAATATAAAATGTTACATAACATGGTGTGAAATTTGATATGATAAAATTCAATATTTTAAAAATAAAGTAAAAAATAAAAAAATAAATAATTTTGGGTTTAGAATGACAAGTGGCAACAATTCAGAGTGAGAATAGTAATAATAATAGTAGTAATAATCGTAGTAATAAGGGAAAGGTATATAGAATAACTAAATAAATAAAATAAATGTCTATCCCTCTACGGCCAAGGCAGAAGTAGGGATTGTGCATACTTTTTTTGTACACAAAGGTCTGGCTTAAAGTCATGAATTGCCAAGGCCTCAGCTGTCTTTATAAGTCTGTAACGAAGAAAACGTGGCAAGTTAGCATGGATTCCGTAGGTGATCTTAAAATCATGGTCAGGGTTGACAGAGTGACAGAAGTCGATCAGGTGTTCCAAAATAGAGCTTCGCACACACTTCCTTTCTCCCTTGTAAAACCATGCAGCTGGAATATGTTCTCGTATCCGTGTGGAAATCGGTGACTTCTGACTAAGACCAATGTACCTTACTCCACAAGAGCAGGTGAAATGATAAATGCACATGAAGGGGCGGCCAGATGGGGAGGGGCTTATCTTTTACAGAGATGGAGATCAACTTGCCGCTAGTGAAAGTCATTCGAAATTTTGCTTCAAAGAACGTCTTACACTGACTGCTTTAAAGAGACGATTTTTGAGCATATCTGAAGCTTGATCACCTTTCAGTTCCAAGTTCATGAATAAGGTGTTTTTTGGAAAAGCTTCATAACATCCTATTTTGAAAAACTATGAAGAAACAGCTGTCTAGGTCTCCCTGGTGATTTTCCATTGGCTGTCTAAATGATACAACCTTGTGGTCAAATTCTTAACCAATTGGAATCTTTACAAACAATTAATCTAATGCTCACTAGCGACTAGCCCTATTCAGATAGGTAGTTACCTGGGTACTAGTGAGAATTCGTAGCCAGGAGGGTCCACACAGTCAGATAAGAGGACATTTACTTGCTTAAGACATTGCCTGGCGAATTAGCAGAAGTCAGGTCTCAATAGTTGAATAGTATTCAAGCACACCATGTAACCCGAAGGCCTTGGTTTCAGACCCTAGTGGATAACTACTGATGAAAACTCCCAAACTACGACTAAACTACTGCCCAGTACTCTCTAATGGCTTTCCAATCGCTCTCTAATTGATTTCATACCTTGTGACCAAATCTATAGCCAATCAAATCTCTCTTTCTCGGCGAGTCGAACCTTGATAAAATTTTCAATTTTCCTTTTTATAGACATAAACAACTTCTCTGTGGAGAGAAAAACAATCCCAACTGCTTTCCTGCCGTTCGTTCATCACCTTCTCTTTTCACATACCTCATACCTTTATACATTTATACTCGCCTGTCTATCCACGAATCGACATTTCTTTCGTAGAGAGAGTGAGAGACATAGAGTCTCGTTTAATTGTGATTGGCTGCATAAATCATTTTCTGATGCTTCAGTGGACCGAATTATTATTACTATTACTATTACTACTACTACTATTATTATTATAGTTATCGTGACCAGTGGATATTACGTAGTAATAGTAATAGTCAGTAAGGCATAGTAGATTGAAGGATGAAACACTGACATTCAGATTAACCAACCCCTTTCCACACACACACATACATAGACACGCATAAATTGATGAGTTAAAGCAGTCCTTGTATATCATCTATCTCCCACGCGGTCGTGGTGGTAGTGGTGACGGTGGCGGTGGTGGTATTGACATAACAAGCAAAAAGATTTTTCAAACAATCAATCGATACATGAACCAATCAAATGATAGATATAAACTGAATTGTCGTAACAGTGGCAACATTCACTCACTATTTAACTCAGTAAAACAAATAAATAAAGAGTATATTTTTGGGATTTATTGAACCATTGAAACCATTGATTCCTCTCTAGCTCTCTCTGTGGATTATTAGTATTGTTAGTACAACTAAAAATGTCATCATCAGCTTTGCCATCACAATCATCATCATCAACGCCTGAGGAATTAAAACAATCTTTTCTAGCATTTTGTAATTTTGTTAAAAAAGGATCTACAACAGCGACGGATAAAACATTGAAAAAAATTTGTACAGATTGTCAAATCTATTCAAAAAAGTTGGATGCTAATCGTGTTGATATTGAATTTCGTGCACATATTGGAAGTGCTAAAAGGTAATTATTATTTCTCTTTTTTCAGAATAAATGGGTTGTTTTTTTGGAGGGGGGTATTTCCCAATGAAACAATGAAAAACAAAACAGTGTGGCTGGTTTTTACTGACGTTTTGCTATTTCAAATGCTGCCACTGCTAATAGCTTTATCAAAGTAGTAGTATTTTTTTCCTTCACGTTCCCAGTGGAACATAGGGCTTCAAGCTAGTGGCTTGAAGTTTCTGTAGCAGTGTTTATTTTATGGGATGAGGTTGCTAGCCTCATGCGCAACCTTTTCTCTTTACCAGCATTATTTCTGGCTTAGCGAGGTAAAGGAGTGCGTCGGTGGCCGGGGATCGAACCCCGAACCATGTGCACGGTCGGCGAGCGTCCTAACCGCTATGCCACCGACGACTAATTGACCTATTTAAATATGATTGGTCATTAGTACGTACTTTTTTTATATAACCTTGTCATGAACTTTATTTTATTACTCTTAACCTTGTTAGTTGTAAAGCGGTTGTAAAGAAACTACGAAATGATACCATCATCTCGCGAAATTTGTCTTCTTAATGCCTTAATCAAATTTATCAAAGGGACTAAATTTCAGAAAAATAAAATCTTTAGTATGAAAACATTTTTAGAAATTCTGCAACAAAAACTAATGATTAAAAATATTTTAAAAAAAATAACAAATTAGACTTAATAAATTAGATTAGTAGTAGTATTATTAAACCAGAATTTACAAAATCCACTCAGCTTATATACGGCAACTTAGTCATCGTTCCTCAGCATAGGGGCAATTTTACGTTGTCAATTTGGCCAAAAAGATTGAGATATCAAAATCACGCGTAGATTTTTGGATTTAATAAGTTTGTAAAATTATAAAAGCAGCGTGTGTTTACATAATGACATTGCTTATCAAATTCGTGTTGGTTTTGTCACTTCATGGGGAGGGTAGGTGTTGTAACCAGGTCAAATTCTGTTTTAGTCCGTCATTCCCATTCAGTCCAGACGATTTGTATTCCATTTGATAATGTTAAGTGCTGCTGACGATATTAGACTTTCTTTGTGATTTCTGAAATGCTTTTTCTGGATTATTTCAATATTGTCAAAATCAATTTTTTGACCTGATTCTATAGCGTGTAGATCACTACCTATCACTGGTGATTTGTCAAGCTTTTCTAGTTCACTAACTGGATTTCTTGGTGGTTGGTCGCACAGATACTCCACGGTGTTCATTTCTTCTGATTACCTTGATTTTTGTCTCGCGAGGTTTGACCGATGTAGTATATCGCATCACATTTCAAGCATTTTATTTAATAGACACAATTAGATAGAGAATCTTTAGGGATTCAGTCTTTTATATGGATAAGGTAATTTCATAGTGTGCCTGATGTTTTGAAGAAAACTCTGATGTCGAGCTTATTGAGTACTCTTCTGGTATCGTCTAACGTTTCTGCTCTATATGGAATAACAACTGTTGAAGCCCATGTCTTCGGAATACGTTTTCGACCATATTTAATGTCAGTGTTGGTTATGCTAAGGAAGTTCTTTGGGTACTTATTTTGCTTGAGAGTCTCAGTTATGTTTGATATTTCTTCTTCTTTTTCTTTCTCATCCTTTGACATCAAAAACTGTGTTCGTTTAAGAAGACTTGAAACAACTGATACCTTTCCGCTGATGTGGTATGATGGTCCGAAGTTCAAATATTTGTTGGAGTGGGTTTTCTTCCTGAATAGGGATATATTAAAATGTCCGTTTTCCCTCTTCTTAACTAGCGAGGCAGTCTAGAAATGGTAGTTCACCAACGTCCGATTCTGTCTGATTTCGAAGTAAACTTGATCCTGGGAGATAGATTGTTCAGTTTCTGCAAGAATGAACTGTGTAGATCTCGTTTTAGTACTACAAAAGTATTATCTACATATCTTAACCATATTTTAATGTTGAGTATGCTTGAAAAGACGTTGTCTTCGAATTTTTCTATAAAAACATTAGCAACTATTGGGGAAACTGAAGAACCCCCAGCAACGTCATTTGTTTTTCTATATATATTCTCTTTACATATAAAATAATTACCTTCCAGACAGAATTTCAAGCTCTTAATTATTTCACTGGTGCCCAGTGGACATCTTTGTGATAGTGATTTATCTGATTCTAGTAAACCGGAAATGACGTCAAGATTTTCGGTAATAGGGATACTAGTATAGAATGAGTTAATATTACAGCTTACCATAATGTTTTCTTAATCGATTTCTCGGTGTTGTATTTGGGATTTGAAATCGTGTCTGCCGCTAAGTCTCCCTTGAAGTTCAGATTCATACATAGTATTTTCTTTGGCAATGAACTACATTCTCCTCTTTTTGGTTTCGGTTTCACGTTCTTCTCCACGGAGTCTGCCGGTTATCCATTTTCAGTCAGGATATTTTTCAGAAATAAGAGTTTTTCCTCCAAGCGGTCATTGCTGAAAATTCCTGTGATACGATGGAGGAGGGAAATGATGAGAACTGTTTTTCGACTGATGGGTATCCAAATATAGGAGTTTGTGAGTTGTCCATTCCACCATGATGGTTTTCTTATGGATAGATCTTTTCACAGTTCCATCATCTTTTCTTGCCAGTTCAGTGAAATAATTCAGAAACGGTCATAATGAATATTAATTTTTTGGCCTGTTATTAATAAGTGTTTTTGCAATGAATGATACCTGAACTTCTATTCATCTTAAGTGCATTTGGATGGATTTTCTAGGTAACATGGTGACCATTTAGGAATGTATTTATTCTTTCCAGCGACACTGGAACATTCTGTTGGTTCTACCTGCCTACCTATTATTATTTATTGTTGTTTCCTTTAATTCCTACAGGAACATAGGGCTTCAGCTGCACGTCTCCATTGAGTTCGGTTCTCACCTGGCTCCATGTCTGCCCACACGTATTCATCTCCTCTTCACATGACCTCCTCCAAGTCACCCATGCACTGACGACCAACTCGCCGCTTCCCATCTGCCGGGTTCCACTCGAGCAATGACTTGTCTAGTGATGTCACTTGATGGTTTCCTCAGAGTATGGCCAGCCAATCCATCTCCATTTCTTCCTGCCTATTTGTTTCACAATCGGTTCCTGCTGTGTTGGTTCGCTCATTGCCAGAGATCTCTATTGCTGATCTTTTCTGGCCAGCCATCTGATCTTTAGTACTGAGTGAAGACAACTGTTGATGAAGGTCTGTAGTTTGTTTGAAATGCTCTTTATGACGTGCCAAGTCTCTGACCTGTATATTAGCACTGACTGACTTCATATTGGAGTTGAAAATCCGGATCTTATTTTTGATGCTGAGTGCTGTCGGCCTCCACACTGAATTGAGAGTAGTGAAAGCTTGTCTTGCTTTTCCGATTCTTGCTTTGATATCCTCGTCAGTTCTGTCCGCCTGTAGTAGAAACGATGCTTCTCAGGCAGGTAAAGAGGTTGTTTCTTTCAGGTTCCTATATATATGTCTTCGCTACTGCATGTGAACTTGTAGATACAGTGTGAAGTGGGATCCATAGAATATCGTCATTTACTTGTAGGCACAGGGATTAAAAGTGTTCAGGTTGTAAGGAAAGAATAGTAATAGTTTATGACACTAAGTGATACAGTGTTAATAGCCTGATGAAATTTCGAGCACAGTTTATTGCTCATCATCAAGTCAGTGTATTCACACGACTTCCTGTTTTCTTTTTATCACGATTTCGCATATATCCAAGATGGGTGTTTCATCATTTCTATGAAAAACGTTCATGTGATGAACAACCTCACTGTTCACCTTAATATATTCGTTTTTAATACTTTCACCCTATCCCACATTATTATGTGATCGCCTATCATCTCCAGGCTGTTTCCCAGATTATTTAACTTAACAGAGTCAGGCATTTTAGCTCTAGCTAGGTTCCTGTGTTCCATTAGACCTGTTGACAACAACCTACTTCGCTTAAGAGACAAACAGTAAGATTCTGGTGAGAGCTGTCTGCTAGCGAAAATTGTAGACAACAATTTACGTGTCAATGTTTACGTCACGAATCGGGGTCATGAGAAATAAAACAATAACAAAGCATAACCTTGAGGAACTCACCGACCAATCACAGAGGAATTAACGTAGGCAGATACGATTTGCAGATATATGGCTTAACTTTCTAAGAAACGGTCACAAGTAGTACAGAATAACCTTCAGCAGGGAAACAACCAATCAGAAGAAGTTGCTTCTCCGCTGACAACAATGTACATAAAAATCGATAAATACCTTTTGATTTTCTCAAAAAACTATCTGTTGCCTGGCCCGTGTTTTCTGTCGTTACAAGACTACATAATGCTGCATGATAAGAGAAGTAGATAAGCTGAGCTTTATCGAAGATGCAATAGGACTAAGGAATGGTTGAAAAAGGGGAATTAGCAGCATAACTGGTTAGTTAGTTAGTTGGTTCAGTCCTCACTGGTCAAAGGGAAGGACAGTGACTGTACAAGCTTTTTGTTGAACACATATTACTCTTACTTTATTAATTAATTCACTGTTATCACTCTCATATGTTCCTTTTGTGCATTTTGTCACCCACTTCACACTTGTTAAATGGACACTCACCTACAAACTTTCTTCTCACTCAATGACAATTTTAACTTTTTCGAATTTCGAACGCTTTCTTCCTTTGTGCCTTTGAGTATTATGTACTTTATAACTTTTGTTTCTACTTTTGAAGCCACGTTTTAGTTATTATATCACCCCCTCCCACCTATTACTCCATAATTGACTACTATACATTTTAGGTAAATATAAATGCGACTTTACAGCCCCTGAAGATGATTTTGTCGATAAAGAAAACTTTCTTCTCTGAATTATCTTTGATTTAGAACTTGTCTTGCTGGTATGGCCGAATTACGAACTCAGAGAATGTGAGTCTTAACAGCATAAGGAAAGAGCACAAAAATGGCGCTTGAGTCAGTCTGTATGTGTGGCCATTAAAACAAAACGAAAACACTTAAAACACTGGAAGGTGCACT